AAAAAAAAAAAAAAAATTAGTAGGGCATGGTGGCACATGTCTGTAGTCCCAGCTACTCAGGAGGCTGGGCCAGGAGAATCCCTTGAACCCAGGAGGCGGAGGTTGGGAAAAGGCATGAACTGGTGAGGGGGTGGCCTGGCTTGGCGCCAGGAAGAACATCTCTTATTGTGGTGGCAGTTCCAGCCAGTGCCACCCAGCTCTGCTGACCAGGGCTTCCTCGGGCAGGCTGTTAGGTCTCCCCGAGGCCTTGATCCTAAAGCCAAGGTGGGGCCCAGACACCCCTGGGGCTGTGCTGACCTCAGAGGTGGGGCACCCTACGGCCTGGTGTCCATCTCTGCAGGGGTCCCTCTGCCTAGTCAGCACAGGGAAAACCAGGCTTCCCAAATCCCAGGGTTTCCCATGGGTCATCAGACCCCCAGCATCAGAATCCTGTGGAGAGCAAGCCCAGGTTTCCGAGCCCCCCAACCTGGGCCTCTGACTCAGAATTCTAGGCGTGGGCTTGGAAATCTGCACAGTTGAAACTCAAGTCTGAGAACTGCTGCACCAAATCTGAGAACTCACAGTCTTCCCCACATAACCCCAGGTGGCTGGACGAGCTCCCAAGGGGGATGTTTCCGAGGATATGAGCCAAGAAGGCCTGTCTCCCTCCAATAGGCTTTGCAAGTCATACCCTCTCTGCCCACTACTCAGTTCTGCCATTGTGGCATGAAAGCAGCCATGAATCACACAGAAACAGATGCATGCAAATGAGTGAGCACAGCTGTGTTCCATTAAAACTTTATTTACACAAAAGGGCAGTGGGCCGGATTGGGTCCAGGACCTATAGCTTGCTGATCCCTAGTCTGTACTGCTGACTCCTGGGTCAAAGGTTACAGAAAGGCATGCTGGGCGTGTAAAAGCCAAAATCCTCTGGCCTGAGATGTCCACTGGAACCCATTTCTACTAAGAAGGGTCAGAACAGTGCTGAGATAAGGGGTTAGGGCCAGTCAAACCCAAGGCCACAGGGTGTCAGCTCTCGGTCCCAGCCGGGTACAGCCCTTTGTTGGGGGACAGGTGGTTGCACCAGGGGTGGATCAGTCAGGGTTCTTCAGAGAAACAGAAACAACTGGATATTTATATTTATATATCTTAAAATATCTATGTATTTATATATCTCATATGTGTATATATGCAGTTGTGTGCTATATAAACATTTCGGTCAACTACAAATCACACATACATCAGTGGTCTCATAAGATTATTTTGCTTTGTTTTGTTTTTGAGACAGAATCTGCCTCTATGCCTAGGTTGTATACTGGCACAATCCTGGTTCATTGCAGCCTCAAACTCTTGGGCTCAAATGATCCTTCTGCCTCAGCCTCCTAAGGAGTTAGGGCTACAGGCACGCATCGATAATCAGCCTGGCTAATTATTGTATTTTTTTTTTGTAGAGAATGGGGTCTCCTGCCGGGCTCAGTGGCTCAAGCCTGTAATCCCAGCACTTTGGGAGGCCGAGGCGGGTGGATCACAAGGTCAAGAGATCGAGACCATCCTGGTCAACATGGTAAAACCCCGTCTCTACTAAAAATACAAAAAATTAGCTGGGCATGGTGGCGCGTGCCTGTAATCCCAGCGACTCAGGAGGCTGAGGCAGGAGAATTGCCTGAACCCAGGAGGCGGAGGTTGCGGTGAGCCGAGATCGCGCCATTGCACTCCAGCCTGGGTAACAACAGTGAAACTCCGTCTCAAAAAAAAAAAAAAAAAAAGAGAGAGAATGGGGTCTCACTCTGTTGCCCAGGCTGGTCTCAAACTCCTGGCCTCAGAGATCTTCCTGCCTCAGTCTCCCAAAGTGCTGGGATTACAGGCATGAGCCATCATGCCCAGCCTTCATTAGATTATCATATCATACTTTTACTGTACCTTTTCTATATCTGTATATGTTTTGTTACACAAATACTCACCGTTGCCTCGCAGTTGCCTGCAGTATTCAGTACAGTAACATAGTGTGCAAGTTTCTTGGCCCCAAAGCAATAGGCTATCTCAGAGCGCCTAGGTGGATAGGAGCCTTCAGCATCTAGGTTTGTGTAATACGCACTATGATGTTTGCGCTGTGTAATACTATGATGTTTGCACAACGAAATTGCCTAATGACACATTTCTCAGAATGTATCCCTGTGTTAACCAAGACACGACTATATGTAAAGATTTAAGGAATTGGCTCACATGATTGTTGGGACTGGCAAGTTTGTAATCAGTAGGACAGGCTGGCAGGCCAGAAACTCAGGCAGGAGTTAATGCTGCAGTCTTGAGGCTGAATTTCTTCTCCCAAGACCTCAGTTCTTTTTTTGTTTTTGTTTTTTTGAGGCAGAGTCTTGCTCTGACGCCCAGGCTAGAGTGCAGTGGCATGATCTTGGCTCACTGTGACCTCCACCTCCCAGGTTCAAGTGATTCTCCTGCCTCAGCCTCTCAAGTAGCTGGAATTATAGGGACCCGCCACCACGTCCAGCTATTTTTCTTTGTATTTTTAGTAGTAGAGACGGGGTTTCATCATGTTGGTCAGGCTGGTCTCAAATCCCTGACGTCAGGCGATCCGCCCACATCAGCCACCACACCCAGCAACCAGTTTTTGTTCTTAAGGCCTTCAACTGATTGGATGAGGCCCACCACATCCTCAGGGGTACCCTTCTTTCCTTCAAGTCAGCTGACTATAGATGGCTTCCCACACACCTACCTTCATCTTTGACTGAAAACCTGGGTACTAGAACTTGCCCAAGCTGACACATGAAATTGACTATCATGGAGCTTTCTGGAGCTCAGCTCCCCAGCTCAGATCCTGGTGCCTAGATGTGCAGCAGAGTTGACCGTGGTGGGTCATGAAGCTCTGGGCTTCCTCACTCTGTCGGGCAGCTTGAGCCTCATTGTAGCAGTGGCCAACCCTGGTCATGAGCATGGACACACATGCCATGGTGGGCTCAGAGCAGTGTCTACTCAGTGTCGGGACATGAAACTGCAGTTTGGGGTGGGCTGGGGTGGGGAGGGATGCAAATGGATGCCTGACTGGGTCAGCAAATGGCTAAACGGAGCTGCTCCTGTCCCGTCATCACACCTCCCCCGACACACAAAGAGAGCCAATAGAGGCAGCCTGCCCTCCTCCACCCACTTCCTCATTCTTCTCATCTCTCTCCCTATGGCCACTGACCCGCTGCAAGGAAGATGAGACCTCAAAGAGCCTGCAGCAGAGTCAGACATGAAAGCCACCGCCAGTGAAGCCCAAGGGCAGTGAAAGCAAACACCAAAGATAAACCCCAAGGCAGATAGGGCTCAGCGGCCACGACAGGCCTCCTATGTGTATCTGAGCCACCACTCGAATGCACCAGAGCCCTCCAATGCCTCCCTTGGAATTCCAGCAGCATCCATGTGGAAAGATGGAAGAACAAACGGAGAGAAGGAGGAAGCAGCCTGGAGTTATGACACAGCGGGACAGGCCATGGGAGGCAGGAGGCAGGCAGCACACATGGAGGCTCGCTCCAGGCAGGGCCTGGGTCAGGGGCTGGAGGTGAGCTCTGAACAAGGTGCTCAGAGTTGAGGAAAGCACACGAGCATGCACATGCACACACATGCAGATGTACACACATGAACATGCAGGTACCCGCACACACCTGCACATGTGCACATACATATACCCACACACATGCACATGGGCACGTGCACACACACACACACAACCACACACACATGTACACACACATCTGCAAACATACTCGCACACACATGCACACACAGAGATGCACACACATGCACAGACATGCACATGGACACACACACATGCACAGACATGCACACACACCTGCACACACACCTGCACATGTGCACACACATGCACCTGCACACACCTGCACACATGCACCCATGCATGTGTACATGCACACACATGCACGTGCACACACAGAGATGCACACGCATACACATCTGCACATACATGCACATGGACACACACATACACATGCACACCCGCACCCATACACGTGTACACACACCCACAAACACACACACCCACTCACACATGTACATGCACACAAATGCACCTGCACATGTGCACACACCCACACCCACACAAACACAGCAGACATACATGCATCCGCACACACATGCACACAGTGGACACACCCGCACACACATGTACATACATATGGACACACATACATGCACACCCGCGTGCGTACACATGTACAGGCACACGTGAACACACATGCACCTGCACACACGTGGACACATACCTGCACACACATGCACACACACATACGCTGCTCCTGCACACATGCACACAACCACGCACACATGCACACGCACATACCTGCACACACGTGCACGCGCGCACACACAAACCTGCACCTGCAAATGTGCACACACACACACACACACACGTAATAAAATAAGAGGATTGCTGCTGTATGCAGCAGGGGTTGAAAGAAATATTGTAGGTCAGAGGATTGGAGTGTGCGCTCCTTCCTCTTGGGCAATAGCCTCCTACTTCCGGTGTCGTTCTGGGCGGTTTCTAACACAACCACGGCTTCCTGGACTCCAACAGGCCACAGGCGATTTGCTTTTCTGCCTTTTCCACAATCGCCAAAGGTTCCATAGGGCATTTTGATGGGTTATCTGAGCACAAGGGTCTTTGGAGGGACAGGGCACTATTGCCACGTGTTTAGGAAGGGCTGGCCAGGATCATTCTTAACCTGCAGTAATTTTCATAGGTCTCTGATGAGGTGGCAGAGTAGCCGGAACATTAGGCATGATTTCCTGTGTTTTAAAGCTCAAGGAGGAGTATTTATGGAGCCTGGCTGGGGTCCATAAGTGTCAGCAAGGGATGCTGCTGTAAGTTTGAATTCTGTGCCATCGGGACAAATCGTTCAGAGTCAGCCCTCATTAGTTTTAAGTAGTCACAGAAACGAATGTCTCCTAGCTACATACCAGCTACCAAAAAATAAAAAAAAAATTTTTTTAAAAGAAACAAATGTCTCCCCTGAAGCAGGGACTGGGGGGTCTCACACCTCCCAGCAGTGTCAAGGCTCCTCCAGAAAACACAGGAAGAAGGCAATAAAAGAACCAACCACATTGACTCCCTTCATGCCCACATCCCCCCAGGACGTTTCCCTCCTAGCTGTGAGTGAATGGGGTGTGAACATGGCCGATGATGCTAACAAGTCATAATGGTATTTGATGCTTTGAGAATCTTGGCATTGGCCAGGTGCAGTGGTGGCTCATGCCTGTAATCCCAGCACTTTGGGAAGCCGAGGCAGGTGAATCACCTGAGGTTGAGAGTTCGAGAAGAGCCTGACTAACACGGAGAAACCCCACCTCTACAAAAAATTAGCCGGGTATGGTGGCACATGCCTGTAGTCCCAGCTACTCGGGAGGCTGAGGCAGGAGAATCGCTTGAACCTGGGAGGTGGAAGTTGCAGTGAGCTGAGATCATGCCATTGCACTCCAGACTGGGCAAAAAGAGTAAAACTCTGTCTCAAAAAAAAAGAAAAAAAAAAGAGAATCTTGTCATCAACCAGAGATTGGGCAGAAGGGCAGGAGATGAAGTCTGGGAGCTCAGCAGAGCCACCAAGCCACCCGACTCCTATCCTGTACCACTGGGTTCCTTCCCCCTCTCCTGCCTCCGTTTTCTCCTGCCTTGCTGCTCATGGTAGCTGGCCCTCAGGGCGTGAGAGAACGTGTCCAGATATGAAGAACAATGCCTGCCCAACAAAACACCCACACCTTCCCCAGCCCTGACAGGCCTTAGGCCAGAAACTCAGAGTCAGTGTGTTTGTGATGAGCTGAAAGGAAACATCACAGGAAGGGGCTCTAGACAGAATATCAGTGACAATTTCTATGCCACTAAAGGGCTCTTCTCTGATGTGCTTCTTGTGGTGGACTCTGCTTTCTTTTCTTTTTTTTTTTTTTGATATGGAATTTCACTCTTGTTGCCCAGGCTAGAGTACAATGGCACGATCTCAGGTCACTGCAACCTCTGCCTTCCAGGTTCAAGTGATTCTCCTGCCTCAGCCTCCAGAGTAGCTAGGATTACAGGTGTGCACCACCACACCTGGCTAATTTTTGTATTATTAGTAGAGACGGGGTTTCACCATCTTGGCCAGGCTGGTCTTGAAGTCCTGACCTCAGGTGATCCACCAGTGTTGGCCTCCCAAAGTGCTGGGATTACAGCCATGAGCCACTATACTTGGCCTGAGGGCTCCGCTTTCTTGCAGGCATGTGTGGCTTTTTCTCTCATAGGTATTTGCCCAGGTAGGTGTTCAATAACTATTTGCTGAATGTATGAACGAATGAGTGAATGAATCTATCCTACATGTCAGTTTCTTTATTGAAGCTACAAATATCAAACTTGACTGAGACAGACAGGTTAACAAGGGATGTGAAAAATTTAAACTTGAATTTCAAAGGTGTACAGGTGCTCCCCAACTTACAATGGGGTTGCATCCTCATGAACCCATCCTAAATTGAATATATGGTAAATCCAAAATGCACTCAGGCCAGGTGAGGTGGCTCATGCCTGTAATCCCAGCACTTTGGGAGGCCGAGGAGAAGAGGGTACTGCCTGAGCACAGATGTGTGAGACCAGCCTGGGCAACATATGAGAACTCGTCCCCACATACACAAAAAAACTTTTAAAGCAAAATTAGCTGGGCATGGTGGTGTGAGCCTGCAATTCCATCTACTTGGGAGCCTGAGGTGGGAGGATCACTTGAGCCCAGGAGTTGGAGGCTGCAGTGAGCCAAGATTGCACCACTGTACTCCAGTCTGGGTGACGGAACAGGACCCTGGCTCAAAAAAACAAAAAAGAAAAGAAAATACATTGAATACACCTAACCTAGTGAAGATCACAGCTGAGTCTAGTCTACCTTAAACATGCTCAGAACACTTACATTAGCCTACGGTTGTGCAAAATCATGAAAAACAAACCTCTTTTTTTTTTTTAATTTTTTAAAATTGCATTTTAGGTTTTGGGGTACATGTGAAGAACATGCAAGATTGTTGCATACGTACACACGTGGCAGTGTGATTTGCTGCCTTCCTCCCCTTCACCAACAAACCTCTTTTATAATAAAGTGCTGAAAACCCTGTGGAATTTACTGAACACAATACTGAAAGTGAAAAACAGAACAGTTAGAGTGGAGACTGGAAATAGGGTTTCTACCGAACAGAGATCGATTTCACACCGTGGGAAAGCAGAAAAATCATGTCAGACCATTGTAAATTGGGGAGTGTCTGTACTCACTCAATATATGACCCGAAGCCTTGTGGAATGCCATGTGGGGATCTGTTATGTCCTTCCATAGCCAAGAATAGGTCGTGGCAGGAACTCAGGCTTCTTTGAGGATACCGACAGTTTCACTTTCTTTGTTCCTCCGTGCTTCCCATCCCCTCCCCGCCAGCCGGCCCAGCCTGCCCAGCCAGCTGGGTCTTCTCATGTCCTCCTCCCTCTGCCTCTGGCCCCAGCTGGTCGAGATGAATACAGTGTTAGTGTCTGAGCCACAGGGACATTCCACAGACCCAGCCTTGTGCTGCCTTCTGATCCAGCATGTCTTCCCCTCCTTGCTTCGCTCTATCCTTCTCATTTCAGCCCTGGCTGGATTTTCCTGCTCTGTGGTTAAACATCAGGGTCCTGAAGCCAGGCCTCCTGGGTCCGCCCCAGTTCCAGCAGCAGTTAGTGCTGTGCTTATGGCAAGCTGCTTCACTTCTGTTGATTTCAATCGCCTTAGTATAAACAGGGATAAGAACAGAACCTGCTATAGAGTTGTGAGCATTTACTATGAAGCAGTTTCTTTCTTTCTTT